GGCAAACAGAACTCTGTGAGTTTGAGACCAACCTCTACATAGTTGAGTCCCAGGGCAGTCAAAAGTTACACAGTGAGATTTTGTGTCAAAAATAATTAACAAAAAACAAACATGGCGGATTACACCATATACTTAAGAAGAAACATGGTGAATCATGCCCTAGACTAGCTGCTTCCGCCAAAGCTGACTGAATACGAGAGAAACAACTTAAGGGGGCTGTTTTAGTTCCTGGTTTCAGCTCCTGGCAGGAAGGGCACAGAACAGCCATTCACACCTGGCAGTCAACAAGCATAGGCCCGTCCCCACTGACTGCTTCCTCCAGATAGACCCTACTGCCTCAAATTCCCGAAACCTCCCACAACAGCACCACCAGCTGGAATCCAGACTTCCAAGACAGGAGCCTGGAGGGCACATTTATGCAGAACCCATAACAAGCCCTCCGCCTGAATATATTAGCTACAGCAAAGCCATTGGTCCTGCTCTTCTCTAGTGAAGGCAGCTTGATTTCTTGGTTTTCAAGACCTGTATCATGAGGAAGCAGAGGCGCTCACGACTTTCCACTCAGCATTTTCAGTTATACTTGCAATGGAGTAAAGACCTATGTCCTAGAATTGGCCGCTCTAGTACTGTCAACCTATAACTGGGGGTACGTTACATCAGTTAGCAATGGGCAACAGTCATATAAACCTGTATGTTACTAATGTAGAAAGTTCAAGATGTTTTGTAAATAATAATATACAAAATAGTATGCTACCACTGTTCATTATTATAGTTAATAGGCTACACAGAAAGAAGTAGCACTGGAGTGATGGGTATATGGTGATTTGAAGGAGAACACCCCCTTGCAGGCTCCGAATGTTTGAATGCTTGGTCCCCAGTTCGTGGAGCTGTTTGAGGATTAGAAGGATTAGGAAGTGTGGCCTTGTTGGAAGAAGTATTATGTCACTGTAGGTGAACTTTGAGGTTTCAAAAGCCCAGGCCATGCTCAGTGTCTCTCTGCCTATGTGTCCAGATGTATATAGCTCTCAGCTACTTCTCTAGCAACAACCCTGCCTGTGGCCAGATTCCCTGCCATGCTCATAATGCACTAATCCTCTGAAACTGTAAGCCACGCCCAGTTAAGTGCTTTTTTCTCGAGTTGCCCTGGTCATGGTGTCTCTTCACAGCAACAGAACCGTAACTAAGACAGCACTATCAGACTGACTGTGCTGGCTGGGCATTGAGGCAATGCTTGAGTCTCAACACTTGGAAGGTAGAGATGTGAGGACTGCAGGTTCAAAGGCCAGCATGAGACACACAGAGATTCTACCTCAAAACAAAATGGAACACTAAAGACAGTGTTAGCCAGGAGGGTAGGGGATGTCACTTCCCTGTGAGTTCCTGCCTTTCGGTTTCTCTATAAGGACCCAGTGTTACTTTCCTCAATAATGGAATTTGGAGCATAAATTTTTTTGTTAGTATAAAAAGTTCCTTTATTTATATACATTTAAGCTTTTAACTGCAAATTCATCTTGCTCATCTTCTCATGTAAGGTCCATTAAATGACGGAGCATAACTTTTTATGCTGGGCCCCTTGTATTGTTTCAGATTTAAGCTTCTGATAGTAATGGACATGGGTGCTATTGACTCCAGGTAAGACTTAGAAATGAGCTCGCGCCATGTCACCCAGCTGGTCTAGAGACAAAATAATGACGATCCACCTCAAACCCAGTCTTCACAGGTACAACTGTCCCTTTGTTTAGAAGCTCGCTCAGAGACGTGGAGTAGTGACGTGGCCCGCACTGGCCTCAGCCAGCATCTCACCAGACACACTCACCCCTGCTATGTGAGCTCCCTGCGCCCATGACTCCACTGAATCTTTGGCATTCTCGTGTTCTCTTTCCTTTGCATGGACAGGCAGGAGGACTTGGTCCTCATCTGAGAGCAAGAAAAGAGGACGGAGCTTTGGGAGGGGAGTGAAGAGTTCCGGGTCTCCTGAGAGCACTTCCTTCACCTTGCATCTCAGGACACCAAGCTCCACTAATTACACAGTTCTACTGCAGTGAATGCTCGTAAGAGGAAACCTGCAAAGCACACCCCAAAGGCAAGGCATGCAGAAAGTACTGACAAAAAGAGGAAGTCCTCATGACCTAGGAGCGACCACCGTGGTGGTGACAAGGCACGGCTTCTAGGCCAGGTGTCAGAGTCCAATCCGGCCTTATTAGTTGTTGGTCTCAGATGGGCATTTAACATCTCCAGATCTTGGTACTTCATTTAGAAAATGAAGATCAAGGTTCCAGCACCTTACCATATATGTAACAAGACACTGCCCGCTGCATAGCTAGAGCACACTAAAACTTGAGTCCGCACTGACTTTTAGCCCCTCCCTCAGATACACATACAATCTCCTCTAAATCGGATCACACTGTACCTGTTAGTTAATAGAAAACCTTTTTAGGCTCATTAGAATCTTTTCCAATTATTTTATTCTTACAGGTCACTTGAAAAGGATATATTCCAATAAATGAATTACCACAGTTAGCCATGGATGTTTTAAACAGAACCATCACTCTTGTGTGTAGCTAGTCATGTGTCTTTTAAAGTCAGTTTATTCTGAGGCCATGCTGTCCTGAACTATGACCTCAAACTCAAGACAACCCTTTGGCTCCTGAGCACTGGGATTGTGGATCACATCTGGTTTATAAGCCTTTTAAATCTGTGCTTTTTTTGGTGGCCAGATGTCTTGTGCTAAGAACCACCGAGGTACAGCAGCCCTTACACAGCTCATGCTCTCCTAGCAAGTTCTCAGCGTGCACGTCACCTGCAATTCTACACTTGCTCTGGCCTGGCTGAGGAAGTCTGGAAGAGTTGTGAAGAGAGTGGGTTGTTGGGGGACTTTTCAGTTGCTCAGCTAGCTCCCCTAGAATTACCTGCTTCTTGCTGACAGGCAACCACACAGTGACACAAGCCCTTGCTGCATCTCCTTAGGGGTCACCAGGTCAGCTGCATCTAGCCTGTCCGTTACTCTGAAGTCTGTCCGAAGTCTGAAGTCTTCTCGTTCCTCACCAATGCCAGCACACACGTATACAATTTGGTTCTACACTGTGGGCTTTGCTGCTTTTTAGTTTTTTAAAAATAACTCATAGCATTTTTTGACAACTCTGTGTTATTTCATTATTTGTACTTTTTTTTTGTATGTGTAGGAGCACATAAATAGACCAGCAATTAAAACAAACTCACAAGTCAAACAAGCCAAAATGCAGCTGGAGAGGTTTGTTTGCCAAACTTGCCTAGGGGATCACTTGGAATATTCTGTATTTCCAAGTCCAGGCCAATGGAAAGGCCCCATAGTCTGGATATATTATCTTGATATGAGAGACCTAAAGAAACCCAGTGTTTTGCATGTATATGTATGTGCATGTTGTTTTCATGTGCAGGTATGTATGTATGGGTATACACATGCATGTGAAGGCTGGAGGACCATCTCAGGCATTGGTCTTCAGGTGTCACTGACCTTGTTTCCTAAATGGGTAGCTTATTGGCCCGGAGCTCACTAAGTAGGTGAGTGCCTTCCTAGCCCTAGGATTACAAATGAGTACTATGCCCAGCAGGTATATGGTTATCATGATCTGACATACTTGAGACTAATGGGTCCTCCATGTGTATCCTTAGAGCGTTAAAGAATACTGAGTTAACTGGAACCTAAGGGAGTCATTAACCAATTTTTAGGCTTAGAATGCACCCTCCCATTCCTGTGCTGAAACTTTCACCACCAATGTAACTGTACTAAGGTGGGCCCTTAAGTGACTAAGTCATTCATCATGGCAGACCATTATGGATGGGTAGGGAACTCTTACAGAAGGCCTTCAGAGAACAGGCTCACTCTCGTGTAAGCACACAATCTCCCTCTGTCACATTGAGGATGCAGCAAGCCACTTCTGAAGAACACACCAGGTATTCAGCAGACACTGAAATTACACTTTGGATTTACAGTATACAGAACTCGTGAGAAATAAATTTGTATTTGTAAATATCCCAAATAACAGGAATGACTAAGCATTCATCTACAGGTAGGTCTCATCTGAGACCCTGAGGTCCACGGGGCAGAATTCTTAGAGTCTATTTTCTAGGAACACACAAACCAAAGGAGTAACAATTTATATTCTACTTACCAATTACCAAGGATAGTTCTAAACATCAAACATAAAAACAAATTCTGAGAATGAATTTGGTTTAACATGCTGAGGCCCTGAACAGGTTAGATGGGGGTCACACTGTTTAAAGTGGATCAGAATTTGGATCCTCTGGGAACTGAATTCTTTGCAAGCATGTATAAATATTTAGAGCGCTCATCTTTCACTAGGTAAGGCATTCACTTTTTTTTGGTCTGATACATGTGTGTACACGTATGTGCACAGGTGTGTGTGGTGGCCAAAGGTTGGGGTTGGGTGTCTTCCCCTGTCATTCTCCACCCTTAGTTTCTTACAAGGTTTCTAGAAATCACTGATTCAGGTAGAATGGTTGGTCAGCAAGTTCTGGGCATCCACATGTCTCTGCTCTTCCAGTGTTGGGGTGACAGATTCATATATTGTCATACCTAATTGCTGGGTATCCAAACTCAGATTCTCACACGCATGCAGCAATTTCTTTACCCATTCAGCAATCCGTCAGTACCTTCCACATATTCCCACCTCCCATGTTAAAAAATCAGGAGTTGGGACCAGAGATGGCTCAGAGGTTAGGAGCACTTACTGCTATTCCAGAGGATCGGGGTCCTAGAATCTACATGGTGGCTCACAATCTGTAACTCCAGTTCCAGGAAATCTGACACCCTCTTCTGACCTCCATGGGCATCAAGTATGAAGGTAGTGCACAGACACACATGCAGGCAAAAGACCCACACCATACACGTAATTAAGAAGAAAGTCAGGGTTGGGAAGTAGCTCAGTGACATGCACAAGACACTGTACCTGGTTCTGAGCTCCACTCTCCACATCCCTGCTAAAGGGATGGATCATAAATTGGAACAGAATGAGAAAATTACTTTATTTAGTACATTGCATTTTTTAGTTCCACTCACAATTACAGTACAAAAGAGTCCCTTGCTTATTGAGTTTTTGGCTGTGCTTTATTTAGCTAGGTTTATAAAAAATGTTAACCTTTAAAATCCCTCAAATTACTAAAAGCTTACATTCCTCATAACTCAAGACAATCTTAAAAAACATATTTAGGGACAGAGTGTGGCTCAGGTAGAACTTGCCTTGCATGTGTGAGGGCCCAGTGATCCCAAGCACTAAAAAAAACATTTCTTTAAACACCATTCAGATATTTTTCGTGGAGGGTTTCACACAGACCTGGCTGGCCAATTACTTACTCTGTGCAGTTCAGGCTGGCCCTGAATTTGTGGCATCCCTTCTCTCAGCCTCCCAGACCGTAGGCAAGCACCATATGTCTGGCTAAAGCCATTCTGTAGTTGAAACTGCCCTTTTATACAGTCAGAAGTTCCACAGGTGGTGGCTTCAATGGGATTTTTCCCAGAGTAAATTTCTGGGACTGGAACTGATCCAGCTCCTCTTTAGTCAGCTGATCCCTGGGTGTGAACAGTACATTGTTTGTGGCAGAGGCGGGGAGGGAGGCTGATATGCTACTACCTCCAAACAAGTCATTAGAAGGTTTGGCAAATACAGATTGAGACTGTGGGCCAGGACTACCAAAACCAGCCACAGAACTGCCACTTCCGAAGGCAGGGGCCACTGCAGGGCCGAAAGGACTCCCTGCCAAGGAAGCTGGAAACCCTGAAAACCCAGGTGATCCAAAACCGGAAGCATCAGGGCTCTTGAAAGAAAATGGAACAGCAGATGTGGCTTCAGGCTTTCCAAATCCAAAGGCTGGAGCGGAGGAAGCAATGGCAGAACCAGCAGAGGGCCCAGCCCCAAAGGCCGAGGGACTTCCAAACACAGGCGTGCTTCCAGAAGGGGCAGTGGCAAATCCAGAGTTTGTTTTAAAACTAAAGTTCTGAACATTACTGCTGCTGCTATTCACTGGAAAACCTACAAAAATAGATTACAGTCAGAAAATGTAGCCATGTTATTCTTTTCTCTTATTCCAGGCATGGTTAGCTACTGAAGAGTTTAGGGGACATGTGAAAACAAGGTTAGAGCAAATCATCTGAACCCCACTGCCCGGCAGTCCTGCTACCCTGATTCACCAGCATCCATAAGCAGTTGGAGAGCAGGGTGGGAACTTCTGGTTTGTTGTGCTTCTTCTGAAACTCACAGCTGTGCAATGATAGGTTCCCAAGGGTATGGCTGCCAAGCGGTAAAGTCCTATCAGATCCCCGAGGTTCCCAAGGGCACGGCTGCCACAGTGGTATAGTCTTATCTGATCCCTGAGGCAGACTGTCCTTGTAATGAAGATCAGGCTGGCTCTGAACTTTGGGGTCTTTGTTTTCCTTTGTTGTTATTATTGCTGTTTTTTGGTTTTTCGAGACAGGATTTCTCCGCACAACCCTGGCTGTCCTGGAATTAGCTCTGTATGTAGATCAAGCTGTCCTCAAACTCAGACATCTGCCTGCCTCTGTCTCCTGAGTGCTGGGATTAAAGGTGTGTGCCCCCACCACCAGCAACCACAGCCTTGAACTTTTGATTTTTCACTTCAGTCTCTGAATGCTAGAGTTACATGTATATCATCAGGCTCAGTTTCCTATGGAGTTGAAAAAATATTCCTAAAAGGTTCTTCTGGAGCTGGGCACGGTGGCTTACATTGGTAATTCCAGTTCTCAGAGGGCAGAGGCAGGAGGATCACAAAGCCAATCTGGCTTACATAGTGAGTTCCAGGCCAGGGCTACACAGTGAGACCTTGTCTCAAAAGCGGAAGCATTTCTTCTACAAGCTGAGCCACAGCGACTTTCACAGGACACCTCCCTCTGACCGGCCTTTCCTAAGCATCTGTAAGTTCTTCAAGGCTCCATAATGGAGAAACGTGTGAGAATTATTTAAATTGGCGACTCAGGATTTGTAAAGTTGAAACCTATTAACTGGGTGTTGGTGGCTCACGCCTTTAATTCCAGCACTTGGGAGGCAAAGGCAGGCAGATCTCTGTGAGTTTGAGGTCAGCCTGGTCTACACAGCGAATTCCAGGTCAGGCTCCAAAGCTACAGAGAAACTGTCTCGAAAAACAAAAACAAACAAAAAATGTTGAAGCCTATAGCATCCCACTTTTCTGAGTCAGCAAAACTTGTCCCACTCTGTCTCTTACCTGATGACCCAAATGTCCCTGCTTGCTTACTTCCAAACCCAAATGCAGGCGCTGCTTGACTGGCTCCATCCTTTACATCAGAGAGCTTAAAAACAAACAATACACTACTTGATGAATAATTTCCAGATACCATCGGCATACATTACATTTAAAAATGTATTACTTAAATATGCATCTAAATATCTAGTATACAAAATACCCATAAAGTGATCATGCAAAGGAAAGGGTATAATACTCTATAAAATGTATAACCAACCAATATGAATGTCTATAGAAAAATGGATAGAAGTGAACAATGACTACCTCTGGCTGATGAATGATTTTAATTTTGTACTTGCTAAATTTCTAAAAGCAACATATATTACAATCAGAAAAGTATTTTTTTAAAAAATCAAGATACATCGTATCCATATGTAAAAATTTCAAGAATAAATAAAATTACATTTTAAAAAAAAAGCACACTTCCAGTGTTTATAAGGTCAAACCTACACCTGTGAAGCACTCTGGATGTTAGAGCATGCCCAGTCTACTCAAACGCTTCAGCTCAAGCGAGGTCACATGTTATCAAAAGCTTACTACCAAAACCCAGCAGACGGTCCTACTCTGCAGACAGATGACCCTTCAAAGAACCTGTCACTGACTCCTTTCCTCCAAGACTTTTTTTTTTCTTTTAAGACAGGGTCTCACTATGTATCCTTGGCTGACCTGTAACTCACTGTGTAGACGAGGCCTTGAGGTCACTGATATCCACCTGCCTCTAAGTGCTAGGATGAAAGCTGTGTACCACCGTGCCTTTCTCCGACTCTCTTAAGCAGACCAAGTTGGCTGAGCTTCATATCCTTGGAAGCAACTTAGACTACGCTATCACATTAACACACGCTATCACATTAACTCAACCTTCCTAATGCTGTCACCCTCTAACATATACAGCTCCTCATGTTGTAGGAATCCCCAATCAGAGAATTATTTCCATTGTTATTTCATAACTGTACTTTTACTACTGTTATGAATCGTAATGTAAATATTTGATTTGTAGGATCTCTGATACGCAGCATCTGTGAAAGGGTTATTTGACTCCAAGGGGGTCAAGACTGACAAGTTGAGAACCAATGCTAGATGCTTTGTTTTGACATATTTCAGTGAATCCCGACACACTTAAAATCAGCACAATCAAAATTCAGGACATTACTGTGACCCTAGGAGCTCCCGACACTCTTCCCGGGCAGATAACAGCCCTTTCTTGACTTCCGGCCCCACACAACTGCTCATCTGCTCATCACTACACATAAGCTATGTCCCTTCCATAGTTTTATAAGACAGATTCTTTCAGGTTGTTGTTGTTGTTCTTTCCTTGCTTCTCTTTCTTAGAGTAATAGTCACCAACAGGTAAATAGGTAAATGGCTAAACAAATTTGAGTATATCCATACTCATGATAAAAGAATGAACGATGATATGTGCTAAGTCAGCCCAGGATGGTTCTCTCAGATCAGCAGTAGAGTGACCCTTTCAATGTTAGCAAAGAGCTGGAAACATTTATCCCAGGGATGAAACAGTTCCTTACACTCAGTTAGTGTTGTTTTATGAGCTCTCATCAATGGCGATAGGGTCACGTCTCACTGGGGTCACAATATACCTAAATAACCCCACTAAGTTCAAATGGCATTATACAACTGCAAGGCGGCATAAACACATCTTTAAGTACTTGAATTTGTAATATTTCTCAGTTTTTAAAACTAGTCCTACCCCAGTTAAAAACCTTACACTAAAAATAGTTTTTGTTTGTTTGTTTGTTTGTTTTTTTGTTTTTTGAGGCAGGGTTTCTCTGTAGTTTTGGAGCCTCTCCTGGAACTAGCTCTTGTAGACCAGGTTTGCCTCAAACTCACAAAGATCCGCCTGCCTCTGCCTCTCGAGTGCTGGGATTAAAGGTGTGTGCCACCACTACCCAGCCTAAAAATAGTCTTTACTTTTATTTATTTTGAGACAAGGTCTCTCTAAGCAGTTCTGGGTGTCCTGGACTTCAGTATATAGATCAGGTTGTCATCAAACTCCCAGAGATCTGCCTACCTCTGTCTTTCTAGTGCTGGAATTAAAGGAGTGTGTTACCATGTCTAACTAAGAGTTGTTTTTAGAAAGCATAATTGTCCCTACTTTTCTGAGAAAGAAATACGTTCTAGGGCTTCAACTATAAATGACCATAGGCAGAGTTAATTCTCCACAGAGATTTTACCCTTCAAATTGAAGCATTCTCTGTCAAAAATCATAGGGGGCTGGAAAGATGGCTCTGAGGTTAGGGGCACTGACTGTTCTTCAAGAGGACCTGGGTTTGATTCCCAGAATCCACATGAAGTTCTCAACTGTCTGTAACTCCAATTCCAGGGGATCTGACACCCTCTTCTAGCCTCCACTGAACCAGACACATATGTGGTGCACATATATGCAAGCAAAACGCTCATATACATAAATAAAAATTAAAAAAAAAATAAAAAAAGCAATAGAACCAGTGTATAGCTTTAATCCTGGCATTCAAGGTAGGGCCAGGAATATCTACGAGTTTGAGGCTAATCTGGTCTACATATTGAGATCCAGGTCAGTCAGATGAGACCCTGTCTCAAAAAATAAATAAAAAAGCAATAAATGCTAGGCATGGTGGATAATGAATATAATCCTAGAAAAGAGGAGGCTGAGATAGGTGGTTCTGAGTTCAAGACCAGCCTGGGCTACACAGCAAGTTGCAGGACAAGTGAGCTCTTGTCTTAAAAAAAAAAAAAAAAGAAGAAGAAAGAAAAAAGAAAAAAAAGCAACACCACAAAATGCAAAGATGAGTCACTTCTTTGAAGAAAATTCTTCAATACTCACCAGAGTTCCCTTGGTTGACATATTTAAATTTTTCAGTTCATTTATTCTATTCTTCCATTGACTTACTAGCTGTTGAACAGAATTTAGCTGAAGAGAGAAGACAAGAGGTAACTCAATATTGAATGTTTAACCCGAGCTCCTGCTTGCCAGCTCCAGCTCTGTTCTCTAGCTCGCTGGATCTCATGGTGGGTCACCTGGCAGTGCAGAACCGGCGCTATCTGGACAGGAGGGGATAATGTAAACTAGCATAGTCCTGGCTGCAGACAACAGAAATTCTCATTTCCTTCAGGTACCCAACTTACTCTACTGACCACCCATTCAGACTCTTTTCTTTTGAATGTCTGGTATTCAAAGGAGTTAATCTATTTAGCAGAAGTGCCGTTTATGTCACTTTGTTTTTCTAGTATTCATCATGGGATCTGCACCGAACAGAAGCAACAATATTTTTCTAAAGATAGATGGCTTGAGTTCTATTTTTTAACAATTTAGACAACTAGACAATTTCAAAGAAAGTAGTCTAGAAAAAAATTTAAAAAGGCAGTGGCCTATAAAGAATTAACAGTTCTCACCAAATGTGCCCAAACACAAGCAAGCCACTACAAACACAGAAAACAGTAATTGACAGCCAAGTGCTACTGGGGTAGAGAAATAGGAAACAAACTTACATAGCTCTGTAAGTTATTGCTGGTTAAGAAGTTATGGTATTCAAGCCTCAACTCTTCTGGTGAAATATCTGTGAAACCTGAAGTGAGGAATCATTTGGGATTTAAACAGTGAGTATTGCTGATTCTGGTAGGGCTGGCGTGCTAGGCAAGAAAACGTGCTAATGCTGGTTATCAGAAAAACTTCAAGATCATAGAGTAAACTCCAAAGCCTATATACTAATGCTTAAATTATTAAATCAGAATAAGATACAGCTATTTCTTCTTCAAATGAAGAAGAATTCTGCAAAGATAAAGGACAAAAGGAAAATGAAAGATCTGACTACATACACATTCAAACTCTAGCATAAAAAAATGCTGTTAAGTCTACAATAAACAGATTTAAAAGGCATATGATAAATCAGGGAAACCATGACTACATACAAAAGAGTTAACATCTTTTTTATTTTTTTTTAATTCATTTATTTATCAAGTATTCAGTATTCAGTGTTCTGTGTGTATGTATCCCTGCAAGCCAGAAGAGGGCACCAGAACTGATTACAGATGGTTGTGAGTTACCGTGTGGTTGCTGGGAATTGCTGGAAGATCTTTACATCTTTAACACAGAAGTACTGTTCATAAGTCAGTACAGAATACAGCAAAGACAGAAAGTATAAGCAGTTCACTAGAGTTTCAAAAGGCTAGTAAATAAAAGAAAATTTAAAAATGCTACTTAGTGATAAAATGCTCTCCTTACGGACTGGCAGACAGTAGAACAGATGATGATTATTGTTACTCAGTGTGTGGTAATGGATGCTGTTCTGAACATACTAAGAGATTTTCTGGGGCAAACTGTCCATAAGCAATGTTTACAGACTTTGACCTACACTTCTAGGATTTATCCAGATACCTATAATTATACATGCATATAGACAAAGGGTGCTACACAAAAGGATGCTTACTCTAGTACTTTCATTGACAAATTAAATGTAAAATACCATTAGGAAAGAAAGCTCAGTGGCAGAATGTTTGCCTGGCATGCCTGAGATTTTGAGGCCATGCTAAAAAAAAGCAAACACTAAGAAAACAAAACTAGATGATGATCACTTTATATAGAGAAATATATAAATACATAAATGACGTGGAGTATGGATGTTTTGCCCGCATGAATGCATGTGCACCATGTGTGTGCCTGGTGTCAGATCCTCTGGAACTGGAGTTACAGACGGCTGTGAGCTGCCATTTGGATGCTGGAAATTGATCCCAGGTCTTCTGGAAGATCAGACAGTGCTTTTAATATGCACATTATTTTAAAGGAAATACAAAAAAAATATTTCAGTCTCTCTACTACCTAGTGATTTTTACTGTCCAGAGCAATGACTACCTTTAAGCACTGAGAAGATTAAGAATGGAAATGTCTATTTTCTACAGACTCCCTTGGTACCCAGGTACCATTCAGTTTACTCCAGTAGCACCAATAGTTCAGGACAAAGAGCATTTGTGAATCATACGGTATTTGCTTTTCTTTATCTAATATATCAAAACTGGTTCAAAACAGAATTCAAATTTGACCAATTCTGTCTCCACTGCCAACAGCTCTAACCCATCATCAGCAATTACTTCCTAACTTGTCTCCCGCATCTTGACTTGCTCCTGCTCCCAACAGCTCATTCTCCCTGCTGTACCACCGAGCTTTTCCTCATCAGCCCACATCCTCCTGCTTAAGCTCTTCATACTGTACACCCAATGTGATCGGACCCCACACCATGTGGACCTTGGCTACCACCCTGGCTTTGTACTGTATTATTTCTGTTATTTTCTTTCCTGAGTGTTTTGGGCTCATGGCTCTCACCTCAAGGGTTTTCCCAAGTCTTATCTAACAGGTACCTTCTCTTCACCCAGGGATTAGCTCTAATTGTTTCATAAGAATGCATAACTCTTCTTCAAGAACACTCCACCTCAATTACTCTCTATTTTTCCAAGCTGTGAACAACCAGAGTTTATCTGAATCACAGGACACAGAAAATGACGTGAATAACTATTTTCTCAGGCTTTGGAAGGGTGGTATGTGATGGTGACACTCTCGGCAAGAACCTCAGTTGAGGATGGGGCTGTGAGCATGTCTGTGGGGCATTTTCTTAATTACTAATGGATGCACGAAGGCTAAGGGCCCAGCTCACTGTGGGTAATGGCATCCCTAGGCAGCTGGAATTGGGCTGTGTGAAAAAGCTAGCTGAGCAGGCCTGGGGAAGCAGGCCAGTGACCAGTGTTTCCCTGTGGTTTCTGCTTCAGGCTCTTCCCGCCTTTAGTTCCTGCCCTGGCTTCCCTCAATGATGGACTATGAACCTGTAAGTCAAACAAACCCTTTCTTCTCCAAGTTGCTTTTGGGTCATGATATTTATCACAGCAACAGAAGAGCAAACAAGGACATGATACAAGAGCAATCTTCTAGCTACAGAGGAAAAGTTAGTTCTTTATGATAAACTATGCATGCACCCACAGACTTTATTTTCTAAAACAAAAAAACTTTAGTGAAATAAACAGCAAATCTGTCTATAGCTCTTATTAATATTTGGCTTAACAGACAGCTAGATTTTTAAAAAACTTATTACTTGGTTTTTCGAGACAGGGTTTCTCTGTAGTTTTGGAGCCTGTCCTGGAACCAGCTCTTGTAGACCAGGCTGGCCTCGAACTCACAGAGATCTACCTGCGTTTGCCTCCCGAGTGGTGGGTTTAAAGGCGTCTGACACCCTCCCTCCCCGGTTTAAAAAAAATATTTTTAATTATGGGTATGGCTATGCATCTGTTCTGTAGTAGTGACATGTAAGTGCAGATGTCTGTAGAAGTCAATGCAGTATTGGATGCGCTGGAGGTAGTCACAGGAAGAAACTGAACTCACAGACTCTGCAAGAATAGCACATACTCTTATTGCTGATTGGCATCTTGCCAGCTGACTACTGGATTCCTGTATGTGCTTCTGTAGGTGTTTTTTCATTCATTCCGCTGCAGTGTGGTTGCTGTATAAGAACTACATTCCACAGATGTGTCACTGGAAAAAGAAGTCATTGGCCTTTTCAGTTAAATGTGGATATTCTTTGACAATGCACCAGTACTGGAAAAGTGGAGTGGAATGGTTTCGGTTTTTTGCTTTTCAAGATAAAGTCTCACTATGTAGCTCGGCTGTCTTAGAACTCACTCTCTAGACCAGGCTGGCCTCAAACTCACAGAGACCTGCTTGTCTCTGTCCCTCAAGTGCTGGGGTTAAAGGTGTGTGCCACTATGCCCAGACAAGTGGGAGGGTCTTAAAGGTCAGTTATAATGTAGACGCAATACCCAATGAACTTTTGTGTTTTGTTATAATTTATTAGTTTATCTTGGACTTAGAATAGATTTCAGCCAGCACGATTCTGTAACACAATGCTACAGTCTTGAAGATTATTAGTTATGTCCTACAGAACTTCTGTATGTTGACACAGGGCATTCTAGAACACTAAAAGAAAAACAAACAAACCAACCTTGAAATCCTCACATATTAATGCTGTCACTAGTCTTTCTTGAAGAGATTTTGAGTATTGAGATGCTATCGTGTTTCTGTGACAGAAAGGTTTCTCATGACTCTAACTTTTCCTAGAAAACTTCAGTTTTATTATGAGCGGTAACCCTGCCATCCTCCTACCGCCACCCTGCCCCTTGAGGTGACACACATTTATCTCATTCATTGTTGAGAAAATATCTGCCTAAGCTAAGTCTGAATAACCACAGATGTTATTCTTTCCAATAAAATCTGTCTGTGACAAAGTAACATGATAACCCAAGTGTTCTTCCTCATAGTGAACATCATACATGGATAAAGGGCAAAAGCCTGGTGTATATGTACCTTCCATTTTTAATAGTATAAATTTCAACACTGAAAGTAACCACCAGTGTATTAGTATTATTATGAAAACTTTTATGAACATATATAGTTCCTACAGATGTGTCAGGGTTAGGTTGGCAGATTAAACTAATAAAAATCCAGAACATCTAGGTAAGCTGAAATTTCAGACATAAAACAAATATTTTATTATGTCCCAGATATTACACAGGATACACATATATTAAAAATATTCCTTACTTATCTGAAATTTAAATTTAACTGAATGTTCTATATCTTACATGGTAACCCCACCCAGAGCTCTCTACAGTCACAGCTGCACAGATCAGGGAACCCCGCCTGCTCGCCTCACGATGAGCCCCTTGCATGCACATCAGGAAGTAGGACAAATGAAACCCAGTAAACAATTTTTAAATGAATAAAAAAGTAATTAAGGTGAGAATGAGGCGAGGGGTGAGGTGCAGTGGCTTTCCTAGGATTCTGGGACACTAACTTCAAGGGTTCCTGGCTGTGCCATGTCTATTGTTTCCTCGACAGGAGAAAGACTCCAGATATCCCAGAGCAGACTTGGAAAACCTCAGTAGCCCAAGTTTCAGAGAGGCAGTAGGTTATCATGGAAAAAAAGAAAATGGAAAGAAAGGAATATTCTAAAAAAAACACCACCCATGTAGCTCATCATCGTCAAACTACCCAGGAACATCTCACGGACTTTATGAAAAAAAATTCTTGGAAGGGACAAAGAAGAAATGGAACCAAGCCCTGAAGGCTGTGATGGTGGGTAGCTCCTGACACTCCTGGTTGCTGACGGAGCTAGGAGGTTCGGAGGTTTCACAGAGGGAACCAATACAGTAGAACTTCCTCGATTGAATTGTAATTGTGGTGGGTCCTGATTTTATTATTCTTTCTTGAGAATAATACAACTGAAAAGAACTACATTATCCTTCTCAGTCTCTCTATTATGAAGTTCAGTTGGAATACTTTAAACAAAGACCAAATTCTAGCTATTCCTAAGTTTGGAGTAAATTTATTTAGCACAGTCTTAGTTTTAGAAAGTAGTCACTTTGGAATCTATTTTAAAAACACATACAAGTACTATAGCCTAGTGGTAGGACTTTTGCCTAGCATGAATGAAGGCCAGGGTTCAATCCTAAGCACACAACAAAAAGCAACCAACCACCGACTTAATCAATCAAGTGTTTTCCAGTTACCTGAAATGTTAGGTTTCTTTTTCACTGGTGAGTAAACAGAGAACATCCACTGCCCCGATGATTCCCAAATCTCTACATCTTTAACAATTCCTTCCCTGAAAAAAAAAAAAAGAGAGAATAAATAAAAATGAAAGAGTAATGGGTATTTCCACTTGCTTGTTAAAATTGTTATTTATGAAGTAGAATGACTGAAATTTTAAGTTCTATTAAATAAATATACAAACTTACATCTTTTCTATCCCAGAAGCTCACAGAAATACAAATCACAACCTGAGTGTGGTGAGCACAGCTGTAATTCCAGCTCCTGGGTGGCTGAGGAGGATTCTGAGGTCAGTCAGGGACACAGTGAGCTTAAGGCCAATCTGGGCTGCACATCGAGAACTTGTTTCCCAAACAACAAACACCTTATATTTTGTAGTTACAAATAATCTAGAATAATCAACCAGTGTTGGCTTTCTAATTCACAGAAAGACTAATCAATATTGAAGAATTATCTGAAATATAATATTTTTTAAAGAACTAAAATTTTTAAAGAACTATAATACACATCAGAAATACAATATTTTTTAAAGAATAAACACAATAACACAATTGTTAACTGGGAACAACAAATAGTATTACTATTAGTTATGGAGAAGCATTAAAATTTAAGAGTGGGTTATAGGACTTCAGAGACAGTTTTCTTAATTTTCTACTTTGTAATACAGGAAACAGGTCCACACACTTTAAAAATATATTTTAAAAAAATTCGTTTATTTTTAATTTCATGTGCATTGGTGTTTTGCCTGCTGTGCATGTCTGTGTAAAGGTGTTGGATCCCCTGGACAGTTGTAAACTACCATGTGGGTGCTGGGAATTGAACCCAGGACCTCTGGAAGATCAGCCAATAATCTCAACCTGTGAGGCATTCACCTCTCCAGTCCCCAGGCCCATGCACTTAACAGTTAATCTGAAACAAACCTGTGGATACAATTGGCTCTAAATTAAAGTTTCTTTCCATCTAGAATGTGGCCATTAGTAAACAGATAGATATCAAAAAGAATATGTTATTACACTTAGAATCACAATAAACAGAATTTTACCTTCTTTATATATATATACATACACACACACAAAATTGATGCTTGCCCAATACACCTAAAAAATTCACGTTCAATTTTCAGCACTTCAAAAATAAACAGCTGGGCACACACCTTTAATCCCAGCACTCTAGAGGCAGTGATCTCTGTGAGTTCCAAGCCAATTAAGGCTACACAGGGAGACCCTGTCTTAAAGTCTTAAAACAAAACAGCTCCTGCTCCCCACCAAACAAACAAAACTTAAAAAGCCACTATTTATGGAACTTCAAATAGGGTAACTGAAATAAAAGTTTTACAAAGAAAAAGAAGTGCTATTATCAGTAATATTCAGGACCACAGTTGTTCTGAGTCACCCAGTACTCTAAAGAACACAGAGTACAATGACCTTGTAAGCAGGACTAACCTTAAAGTATGCTCATATAGTTTTGTTTACTCTGATTTTCAACATTACTCTTTTTCATAGAAAAGACTTAAGTGCTTCTGGAAAAACCAAGCAATTGGGCAGTGACTTTCTACAAAACTTTAACTTACAGCAGTTTCTTTTCATCTTTCTGCTCTTCAGAGAGAAGTGAAGCAAAAGGATTTGGAGAAGATCCAAAGCCTCTGCTGGTGGAAGCCCCAGAATCAAAAGAGCCGAATAATGGTTTGTCTTGATCTCTGCTGCCACCCCATGGTGTGGACTTGGAGAAGCTGGATGGCTGGATGACATTGGAGTATCTCTGGCTGCTGGCATTCCACCCACCACGCCTGTTACTCCCTAAAATAATCAAGAAAATTAAAGAATCATAAAATTGGTAACTGTTTCAAATCTTGGAAATCTCCATTACATTTTATCTTATTATATCTAGAAATCATGTAAAGGCTACTAAAGTGCTATTTTCTACCATTTTAAAATGTTAATCCCTTTATGATTTATAGTTTGTTACACGTTATAACTAATCACATAATGTTCTAATTGCATTTAAAAAATGAGATCAAAGTCAGGTGTGTTGGTTTAAGACTTTAATCACAGCACTGTGAAATCAGAGACAGGCAGACTTCTGCGAGTTCTAGACCAGCCAGGGCTACATAGTGAGACCCTATCTCAAATGAATAAAAGAAAAACCCAAACAAACAACAAAAAATGAGACCAATGGGCCAGAGAGATGCTTCAGCAGTTAAGAGCACTGGCTGCTTTTCCAGAGGACCTGGGTTCATACCCTAGCACCCACATGGCAGCTCACAACTATAACACAAGTTCCAGGGGATCCAGCAGCCACACAGATATATACATGTAGGCAAAACACCAATGCATATGAAAATTTTTTAAAAAGGAGATCAAGAGGATTAGAAATACATAGAAAAACAAAGATACATTGCTGAGTTCAGCTTTGATAAGCCTATTAAACTGCTTGCCCATTGTGGAACAAACAGAAGACACTCTAAAAGTACAGCTCTTCAGTGGATGAGCTTTTGCCTAGCATGCTAAGGTCTGTGTTTTGGCCTAGCGCTGGGTGAATGTGTGTGTTCGGGAAGTTATGTTTTCATTAATTTGCTTCTTCACTGGGTCATATATAGAGAGAATGAATGAAAAAGGACAATGAATAAACTGGACAATAAAAATGACTATCGGTCCTTAAATAGATATTTAAAGACCATTTGCCTCAGTCTTCCCTCTGTGGACACAATACCTACATACCTATCTTCCATATGGAGATTATAGAGCTCGCTAATAGGGGGATAAAGTACAGGTAGATTTCTAAATTTCATGAATATAAAAAACAAGCCAAGGGAGCTGGAGAGATGGCTCAGAGGTTAAGAGCAATGACTGTTCTTCCAAAGGTCCTGAGCAACCCATGGTGGCTCACAACCATCTGTAATGAGATCTTATGCTCTCTTCTGACCTGCAGGCATACATGCAGACAGAATACTGTATACATAATAAATAAATCTTTAAAAGAAAAAAAAGTTGCAAAAATGAGTCAATAGAATGTCTTTCCAGTTTTGAATTGTTTTTAATTTTATCACTTTGTAGTTGAGGCTATGATAAAGGTAATTCATCTTATGACTGATTTGGAAAATATGTCATTTAAAATATACTAAAAAACGTAACGATAGGTGTTGCCATATTCTAAATTACTCCATAAATCCAAAGAGAAATAGAAAATGGAAAAGACAGCTGAACCACATTTCTGAAGTAGGAATTAAGGGCATTTTGTTTTGAAGTTCCAAATCCTTTGTGTATATGTGTGTGTGTGGGTCACACCATATAGAAATCAACTACTTTATACTGCACTGGATAGCCCTAATTTTGGTTTTATAACTTCACAGAATTTTTTCCTCCTTTTCATCCTAAAGTTTTGTTTTTTGACCCAGTTCTCTATCTACCGAACGTTTACTTTCAAATTACTACATTTAAAGTAGGTTTTCAGAGACATGGCAAGCATTACTCCCAGCAGCCCTTGGGAACACATCAATATTTTATCAGAACTCGAGGCCTAATTGTTGGAGCGTTCCACTAGATCAATTGTAGATGAACGACACAATCTGTCTCCTCCACCATGCTACACAAATGACTGGATGAACCTTAAAGACAAGGAAAAAGAAGCAGCCAATAATAACGTTAAAACCTAGGTTCCAAAACGAAGAAAATAAATGAATCTGACTTTTAAAACCTTGTGCTGCCCGGCTGGTTTAATGCCTGGCCCCTGAATACTCTTTCCTCAAAACCTGTAAGGTTCTTAGCCCAGCATCCCACTCTACCAACTAAAGCCCAAACTTTAAAGCATGCGATCAAGGACAAGGCGAGGCAAAGTAGGTCAGGATGGACCCACGCCAATTCTCCCAACCGATGGAATTCACCAACGAAGTGGTTTTAATAAAATATACTTCTAATTTTAAAATGCAGAGTTTGGTACCAGCATCCAGGTCCAAAGCCCCGTCCTAGTCTGATCAGCCGAACTGACAACCCTACAGGTGGGGAGCGTCACCTGAGGGCGGCGGCTGCTGCTGTGGTGGCGGCTGCCGGGCCCCGCCCGCACCCCGGGTGCCGGGATGCTCGTTCCAGCAGCGGTCTCCGAAGCGGCACCGGCCTTGAAGGAAAAACTGGCAAATGGTCATCTTAGCGCCGTCCCAGCCCGCGGTCTTCAGGCCCAGTTTCTAACAACCAAAGTCCTGTCGCTGGTGTGACGTCATCCCCCTGCGTCCAGAGATTCTGCGAGCCGTCTCCAGGGCGGTGAGCGGCGTGGGCTTTAGCCAATGGGATTTGAGAAGAGCAGCCCAGCCCGCGCACGTGTGAAGACGTCTTGAGGAAAAACCCGACCCGAATCTAGAGGGTTCGTGTTATAGCAGACAACCACCAAGGTTCTAGTAGGCTGTAGTTTTGCGAGGCCCAGTCGTTCATTACGTTTATTTAGGCGAAAAAAAAAAAAAAAGTAAAACCAGGCTCAAAAAGAAAACGATGCAGAAAGCCAGGAACCAGGACGCACTGCAGGCGAAAAACATCACAATATTTTCTTAGTTGGTACTGTCTTCCTGCACACTGAGAAATACTGTTCGTAAAATTTCACGTAAATATTGCCCTTTGAAATTTGATCAAGAAGAATGAAATTTGTCTGGAAAATTAACACACAAGCATCCCACTTTAACGGATGCACAGCTTCAATAAAGGTTTTCTGAAAACACTCCATTTCTTTTCTCCTTGACAGGCCTTGAACCCAGAGGCGCACCTGTTTCCCAAGTGCTAAGAACACACACACACACACACACACACACACACACACACACACACACACACACACACAACCTGGTATGTTCCATATATCAACTTTGCAGTTCTCAAACAGGACCGTGTATCAGTATAAAGTACACTATATAAAAGCAAAATGAAGAGCTCTTGAAAGTAAATATTGGCTACTGTGGACAAACTAAGAATTGAAGACAGTTCAGGGACTCTCAAGACTCTAAGTACAAGCCGGGCGGTGGTGGCGCACGCCTTTAATCCCAGCACTCTAGAGGCAGAGGCAAGAGGATCTCTGTGAGTTCGAGGCCAGCCTGGTCTACAAGAGCTAGTTCCAGGACAGGCTCCAAATGCTACAGAGAAACCCTGTCTCAAAAAACCAAGAAAAAAAAAACCTGTAAATACATCTTTAGCTCACTTTACATCTTGATTATGCCAGAGGATGAAAAGATGTCAAACAAAATTCTAGTCAGTAAGCATAACACTTGGGATGGTTAATCTTGTCAAGTTGACACACATCTCTGGACTTCGAGGTGTTAGATTTTACAATTCCCATAGATACACACCGCTGGGCATGCCTGTGAGGACGCTTCCAGGAAGGTTTAACTGGAGAGAAGACACCCCAAGTTTGGACTGCACCATTCATGGAGTGGGGTCACACATCGAATAAAAAGGCAAATTCAAGTTGAGCATCCATTGCTGTTTCCAGACTGCAAATGCAATGTGACCAGCTGCCTCATGTTCCCGCCCAACTCTCTTCCAGGCCCTGATGGACTGAACCCTTAACATTGTGAGTCAGAATCAGCCCACTTCCCGATGCTGAACTCCCTCCCAGGTCCTGATGGACTGAACCCTTACATTGTGAGTCAGAATCAACCCACTTCCCGATGCTGAACTCCCTCCCAGGCTGTGATGGGCTGAACCTTTACACTGTGAGTCAGAATCAATCCATTTCCCGATGTTGCTTTTACCATGTTTTGTCACAGTAATAGGAAGAGTATGAACATATTCCACACAGCTCTCCATGTAGGTGTGAACAAGGCTGGACTCAGAAGTTAGCCATTCTCCTGCTTCAGCCTACCAAGGTGTGAACTATCACACCTGCTTCAGATTACTTTTTAATCTACCCACCATACAACACAGAAATTAGTTTAAAAAAGAAGAAATTGAAGAGGGAACCATTAAAAATCTTTGGAGGAAACTTAAGGTATTCAAGAGGATCAACCAAGTGTTAAATGTTACAACCCATAAAATTGCCCTTTCATATTTCCAGTAGACTGAGATTTAGGGGGAACTGGGTTGGTGTCCTGTTGGATGGAGTAAATTGGATTTTCTTAAAGTCTTTGACATAGGTTAAGATTATCAGTCTTAAAAAGTTTTTTTTCCCCTAAATATCTCCTTTCCTTTGGTAAACACAATAAGCATTTTTTTCCCTAATGCACACAATGAAAAAAGAATATAGACTTAGTTGAATATCTGTTTAAGTGGCATATATTATTTGGATATGGGTATATCAAAATAGTTAATGGCTCAAAAGTTTTCATATTATAATGTCAAGTTTTAAAAACTAGACCACAAAACCAAAATTCCTGTTTATAGTACATAACAATTTTTGGTTACTAAACATTCATACTCAAATTGTGATTTTTCAAAACTTAATCATGTATTATCAAAATAGGTCACTTCCAAGGATAGAACACCAACAAACCCAGCATATACTGAGATGAAAGCAGAGCACACTACAGGAAAGAAACTTTTTGAAAAAAGTAATGAAATATAACTTTTATAGAAAGTAACTTATATACAATGCAATTTTGAGTCCAGTTTACTTTACCCTTATCCTGGCTTTAAGAATTGTGTATAATAGTTCTTGGGGGGATACATTCTTACTAGGATCATGATAGAGACTACTAGGGGTAAAGCAGCTTTATTGAAAGCTATATCAAACTTGATATAATGTCTTCTAGTTAGTTCATACAGCCTAAAAAAGAACAGCTAGTATATTTAAAATATTTTAAACTGTGCTGCACATTCTACATGGGTAGTTCATCTATTAGTATAACCACAATGTAGCATGATAAATGAATATTTTGTCACCAGAAAATTTAGCCACATTAAAAATTTATATTTACCATGTATGTATGTACTCATGTGCTTCACTGTGTATGCTTGGTACTTGAGGAGGCTAGAAAGAGGGCATCAGATCCCCTGGAAGTAGAGTTGTCCATGGTTGTGGGCCTCTGAGTGGATGCAAAGAACCATACTTGGGCTCTTCTGCAAGAGCATCAAGTGCCATCTCTCCAGCTCCAACTAGCCACATTTTAAAATGAAAGTGCAAAGTTAAAAATCATACATAAAAATGTTCCAACAGTCAAATCTGGAAGTGGAGGTTGCCCAAGGTTGGAGTTCGTAAGGGTGTACTAGGTCAAATAGTGCTCCTCACAAAATTCATGTCTACCTAGAACTACAGAATGTGTTTTCACTTGGAAACAGAATCTTTGTAGATGCAAGTAGTTTAAGATAAAGTACCATTTGATATGTCAGCGCACACCCTTAGTCCCAGCAGTTGGCAAGCAGAAACAGGTGGGTATCTTGATTTCAGAGCAGCTAGAGATGGCGCAAAGGTTAAGGGCACTAGCTGCTTATTCTAGAGAACCTGGGTTCAATTCCCAGAATCCACATGGTAGCTCACAACTGTCTAAAACTGTCAAATCCCAGTTTCAGCGAATTTGACCCCTTTTCTGACCTTTGAGGCCACCAGGCATACACATACAGACAGACAAAACATTCATATACCTAAGTAAAAAACTAATAAAGCCAAAATGATTGCTGTGTTTATAAAAGGACTATATGAAGATAGTTACACAGGAGAAGAAAAACAGCCAGAAGAAGACCAAGGTAGAAGACTGTGTGATGCAGTTACAGGTTAAGAAATAAATACCAAGGACTGCTGGCAACCAGCAGCAGAGAGAAGAGGGCATGGTGGTTTTGCCCAATTCCCTGAAAGCCAGATTTGGGATATGTGGCCTCCTAAACAGTGAGAATACATTTGTTTTAATCCATTAAATATGTGGTAGTTTGCAAAAATCTAGAAAGCTAACACATGGGAAACAGAGTGATTACTAGTACATACAGGGTTTTTTTGGGAGGGTAATGAAAATATTCTAAAAATTTGAGGACTGCACATACTGAATATAGTAGAAGTCACTAAAATGGTACAGTTTAAATGGGTGAATTATATGCCTATGGATTACATCTCAATAGCTGTCCATATATCAAAACTCAACAGATAAATCTGTCATATTTTTCAAATTCATTTTTAATTTTAACATTTTAGTCCATTATAACCTCCATATAGAGAAAAATTAAAAATGAAAACACTTTCACAAATTTAAAAAATATTATTGAACATACTTAGAGTGAATGAAGAGTAAATCTATTTAAGTTAAAAATATTTAATATCAGATAAAAACATTAATGATTGACAGTTTTACATGGCACATTTTATACATGGTCAAAGGGTAAAACACTGGGGAAAATTTAATAAGTGGTTTGGCAATCTGTTGTTCACATAAAAGCAATGAAGAGTGTGACATATATTTAATGCCAATTATTACAAACTTTTAGAGAAAACGCAGTTATCTCTGACATGTTTTGCTAGGAGAAAATATCATTTAATCCACATGATACTTGGCTACAGTTATCAATGCTTTTCTAGTGACCTAGACTTTTTTCAGACAGACTTTTTTCTTCCGTTGGCTAACCACTTATTCTGATTGGCTCTCACAGTAAGGACTGAGGGTACAGAGCACTTTTTACATTGCTGAGTAAACTATAAATTAATGATGAGTACTAAGCTTACTAGTTTACATGAAAATATGGAATATTTCATTTAATTGGACTGAATATATTTCACAAATTGGGTATGGTGTTAAATCCCCAAATCTGTAAAGTTTTGTGAGAAAATGTGTATGCCTTGAGCTACTCTTGCTTACTTTAAAATGGAATAGTTTGGCACTAAATAAAATGAAGACAAGCAAAATACATAGTACTAGATACAGTTACTCTATCAGAGTTGACCATCTTGAATTACAAGCCATACTACTACTTAGTTCTTGACCAAACAGAAACAAACAGACCTAACTACACAGTACTTACACAATATGAAAATAGAATCTACAGCTAAGCTGGGCTACTTCTCTGATGAGCATATCCCACTCTGCCAGAATCAGTTATATATTTGAAATTCATATTTTCAAGAAATGCTTAAACTTTTCAAGTTTTCTGGCTGATAGGTTCTTGATTACATGGCCAGCTGAAATATGGTCTTTGAATTAAGTAAAAAGATCCAGATAAAATAAACTATTATTTTATTGGATCTTATCAAAATACCAGACCAGAACTTCATAACCAAATTACTGGAACAAACCACGGATGGCCAGATTTCTGAGTCTCAGATGAGTA